GGCCAGACCCTGTTGCCTACAGAAAAGAGGTACAAAACCTGTCTGAATATGTACTTACCAGTGGTGACGCCAGGAGGCGCTGCCGTGGAGAGGTAGATGTCCCGTGGCCGTGCCAGACCCTCCACCAGGACAGTCTTGGTCAAGTCTGACTTGGATAACCTGGGGGATTGAAACAGAGCAACTTATTGTGTCTGTTCAAGTATGGATATATGTATTTATGCATACGCCTAATTTATATCCATATGTATAATGTACGTATGTATATATGTATGTATGTATGTATGTGTGTGTGAGTCTGTGTGTGTGTGTGTGTGTGTGTGTGTGTATGTTTGTGTGTGTGTGTGTGTGTGTGTGTGTGTACTGTGTGTGTGTGTCTGTCTGTCTGCGTGTCTGTGTATAATGATGGTTTTCGTACAATAAATTCTATCAGGGAGTTGCAGTAGTATTCTAACTACAATGTAATGATATGTTTGTTTATTCATTTCACCAGGAGAAAACATATCAAATACTGGTGTTTATTTGATTTTTTTTATTTATCAATCTCAAGACGGCTGGATAACCCCATTTAGCCTACACTGGCTGTTTTTTAAGGGAGCCCAGCTTGTTACAGGACAATTTTATATACTGTAATACAAAGGACAACATACAGTAAACATATAGGTCCGATGCGTCGAAAACAAAATCATGATCTAATTCTCAACGTCCTAGCTGATCCATGGTCAAAACACAAAAGTTCGCGAGTGGAGGTCAGAGGTCAGGTTTCATACGACATACGTTTCAGGGCTGCTTTAAACTGTGAGAGAGTTGGTATATGTCTTAAGTCAGCTGAAAGTGTGTTGTGTCTTCTGTGGGTAAACCTTAAACATAAAACATTAACATTAAATACGATTGTAAAGAACAAGAAATAACTAAATGGTCATACACAGGCGGACGGGCTCGCAATTATAGTCTTATCGTCTTTATATTTCTCAACAATAACCATTCAAAGCTCGACCAGACCTAGAAATTCCCGGCCTTGAAGCCGTATGGGCAGACATTATGCCACCTTCTCGTTAAAACATCTTAATCTGTAGCATGTATCGACCCCGGCCGACAAACTGAACTTCTTCGATAAATTTGATGATTAGTAGTAATGGTTCACTGATAAAACACGATACAAATCGGCCTTGCAGTATACACTAAATTGCGCCGAATTTTACATTCCACATACTCAGTAAAACTAACACCTTAGGCTAATATAATACTTATACATATAGAATACAACACGGGGTATTCCGTATCGCCCGAGGTATCGGCCCGACGGCGGGTCGGATCGCCCGACGGCCGCAGGCCGGAGGGCTATCCGACTCGCGGGAGGGCCGGGACCGAGGGCGATGCGGAATACACCGTGTTGTATTTTATTTATATCATACCCACCCAAGAAAACGCGCCTTTCAATGCAAGATGAGCCAAAAGTTGGTGCCCCTAAACCCTCAAATGCAACAACATCAATTCCAACGTCCGGATTCTGTATTCGAATTTTCGAAAGGGGCACACGCGGTTAGGGCGAAACGCGTTCGAATCGTTTTATGGAAGCCATGGAAGCGTTCGATAACGGGTTCCGGACCGGGCAGTACATATAGAATACAACACGGGGTATTCCGTATCGCCCGAGGTACCAGCCCAACCGCGCGTCGGATCGCCCGACGGCCGAAGGCCGGAGGGAGATCCGATCCGCGGGAGGGCTGGGACCGAGGGTGATGCGGAATACACCGTGTTGTATTTTATTTATGTCCTACCCACCCACGAAAACACGCCTTTCTATGCAAAATGAGCAGAAAGTTGGTGTCCCTAAACCCAAAAAGTGCAACAACATCAATTCCAACGTCCGAATTTTGCATTCGAATTTTCGAAAGCGTTGCACGCGGTTAGGGCGAAACGCGTTCGAATCGTTCTATGGAACATTTGGAAGGCCCGGGCCGTACCGCTAGTTATCACACGGGCCGGAACACCCGTATCGAACGTAATCGCGGCCCAGGTAGGACATAACGTAAAGTACTGCCCGGTCCGGAACCCGTCATCGAACGTTATTGCGGCCCGGGTATGATATAAAAGTATATACAAGTAACATTCAATAATTGACGACATGATTTTCCATACTAGATGAACACTGTCAACGATGAGCATAAGGAGACCATTATAATGGGTAACCTAAATTGTGACTGTCTTAGAACAGACAATGCCCGTCCAATTGGTAAGCTGAGATTTTCATGTATGCTGCACCAACTTGTAAACATCATCACTACATCGACACGAATCACTAACACATCCAGCTCTTCTATAGATGTAATCTTAACGAATGAGTAATCCAACCTTCATAACCAAGGAACATATGGAGGGGAATTCAGTTATCATGCAATGACATTTGCTTATCACAGGGCTAAAGGTCCTAAGACACAAACTAGCGTAATTAATAGAAGGAACTACAGGGAATTTAGTAAGGAGAAATTCCTTCATGATCTGACCCAGGAGCCATGGCACATACTAGACAACTTCTCAACTTGGTCAATTGAGTCTACGGAACACCGCCGCGAAACGATCGCTATTATTGGCCAGTGGAGCCGGAGACTAAATCCGTGGTTAATACCTACTCTAACAAAACCAACTTGAAGGTAACCTAGATATAATCCACCTCCTACTAAACAAGCAAATGTTATGTTTACAAAATAAATCATATCCTTTAATACAACATCGAGCAGAAGAAAATGACACCAGCAGGGAAATACGTACATTAATGTTTACTAGATAACACGGATTTTCTTACATTCCGACTTTCCCTTGCCATGTGCTTCTTGATGACGACCAAGAAGACGACCAGTAGACGTAGTTCTCGTCAACAGCAATCCCATACACAGTCTTCCCGTTTTCATACAGCAGTTGTTGGATATCGTTACCCAGCAGGTCTGAGCTGTACACGCGGTACCCATCAGAGTAGTACAGCCGGTCCTCTGAATGAGAGGAACAAAGGATTTATGCACCCATCAATGTGAATACTGCAACTGTTCAGTAAGACTACAGAGAGGGTAGACGTGCATATAGATAATATCTTACACCAAGGACGTTCGATCATGATTGAACGTCATTGCTTACACGTAGTACAAATTTATTTAAACCACCCTTGCCCTCATACAATACAGTAAGTAAGGTAACACCGACCTACTAAAGAATGCGTTTCAAAATGTTCCTTCTTGATTAATAATTCTTTTCTGTATAAATAAGTACATTAGTAAATTGTTTCTTGCTGTGTTGTTTCTTACCTCTATAGTCTATTGTAACGGCATAAGGAGCAGACACGCCCGTGATGATGGTGGTTGGGTTACTTCCGTCCATCGCAGCACGGACAATTCTGTCATTACCATTGTCCGCCCAGTACATGAGTCTGTGAAAGGAGTCAAGCAAACAAATTAAAACCTCTTATCTCCATGAAATGTTTATATACGTTTTTAAGTGGTGTTTTATTGTACAGTATCATTAATATAATTATTACCATAAATAATCTAGATTAATCATAATGATAATATAACCCACATAATCCCTACACACCGATGGTCTCATCTGCCTAAAGCACTTATTTGGCAAATTGATAGGTCACAACAGAACGATTTAGTAGGAAAGTAATATCATATTCCAGGAGTCCGGAACATCGGATCAAGGTTTATTACAATTAGGATCTTAATGAAAGTTTGCACTATATGACGTATTTAAAACGGTGACTGGTTGAAGTGAATCGAATGTACAAACGTTAACGCAGCTTTGTCCCCAAAACCACATTTGTGTAAAATGCCTGATTTTGAATGTATTTTACTCACCCATTCCTGGGGTCCAGGACCAGGTCATAAGGACTGCTAACGGCTTGTGACGTCAGAAGTGTTCTAGTTAATGATCCATTCATCTTTGCTACAGATATGCTGTGTTCAGTCCAATCAGTCCAGTAGATATCCCCTATAGCGTGGTCCAACGCCAGGCCAAGGACAGCTGCATAAAAAAAGTGAGAAGGTTTTGTAGAAAAACATGTTTGAAAATGCACACCTCAAGAAGATTTTGATATACATATATGTACTATAGAATAGAAAATTCTTATATACGGAACAGATCACAACATCGCAGTAAACACAGTAAGATTCCCCAATAATGCCGGGGTCACACCAATAAACGTGTCGTTATTACAAATAGGCTCCCAGTCCAACCTGAGATATCCTTAACATGTCGCAGGCAAAACAACCCGTCTAAAATATCCCGATAAGGTTTATAGCGGGAAGCCATGTTCACAGTTACTAACTCCATTTTCCTATTTGGAATAACGACCTGTTTTGGAATCAAAATCTCAAATCTGAATTCTTTGAATAAAATATATTTATAAATGCAAAACAAAACACAGATGTGAAAAAAAACAACAACACAGAACTGTATAACTTTTCAGCCATTCTCTTTTACTACATTTGGTTGACAGATGGGATCCGTCTATACCGCTGCTTTGATTGTAAATTTACACAATTATAAGTATCATTGTTTCATCACAGTAAAAACAAGCATTGTTGAGATGTAAAGTTTGGAACGAAAAAAAAACAGGTAATACGAAGCCTCCCCCAGTATTTTAGTATGTGTG